GTTTTACTTAAAACTAAATTTCTATTTCATCTATATACATCTATACACATCCATAGGTGCATATGCATGTATATAGGTGTATATGTATGTCTATATATGGAAAAAAAAATTATTCTAGTTCATACTATTACATTTCTGTTAACTTTCCTTCGTTTACATTTTATTTTGTTTTAATTTCTTAGTTTTTTTTTTTCTTTGGGTTTTTGTTTTCTCTGCTTTTACATTTTATTTTCTGTTTCCTTTTTCTATTTATCTACATTTATTAATTTTTATTTTTTTATTATTTTATTATCATTATATATATATATATATGTATATATATATATTTTCTTCTAAGTCCATTTAATATTTTTTTTTTCTTTCTTATCTAGCCTGCATATATAAATGTAAGTGTATATATATATATATATATAGGCCCGAAGGACTCACCCCTTGTTGCAGCAGTTCTTGGTGGGGCCTGCTGTTGTTGTTACGGTGTGGTTGCTGCTTGTTGTTGTTACGGTGTGGTTGCTGCTTGTTGTTGTTACGGTGTGGTTGCTGCTTTGTGTTGTTACGGTGTGGTTGCTGGTTTGGGCAGCTTTGGTGTTGTTATTGAGGTCGTCTTGCTAATTGCCAGGGTACGTTGAGACGCCTGACGATCCTGAGGCGCACCGCTAACGTGGTGGCACTTGATGACGTTGAGGCGCCTCGCTGACGAGGTGGCGCTAGATGGTGTTAGGGCGCCCGATGGGCATTAAAGCGCACCGCTGGTACGCACACACTGGTACTGTGGCGCTCTTCTCCCGAAGTGGCGCTTGAGGTTACGCCGTATGGTTACAGTAGTGCTGTTGTGGCGCGTCGTGGATACCGTACGGGACGGTCCGCAGACTGCCTATTCCAGTGTTAACAGTTCCGGGACTGTTGCGCTGTTTTTGCCGCCCTGCGGTTGCTGTCAACGGGATGTGGGTTGCTGCTGGGACTCCCAATTGCTTAGTCAATGGTCCAACTGATTCTTTTGGTGTTGCTGCGGTGCTACGGTTGCAATGGTGGTTGATTGCTTTCACCTTTTCCTGTTTTATATATATAGATTATTCTTCCATATACTTTATAAATCCACTTTGACAACATGCACGATAACATACAACACTTACCTTGTACTAAATGTAGTAGCTGCGGCGGCACGCCAGATATGATACGACGTTTCCTCGGAATCTATATATCTCTCCAAGGCTGAAACTGAAGCAGTAGTTATATGTAACGTTAATAACTACGTTCTCCTGAGTGCAATTCTATCCTAGAATCGCTGGTGAAATCGCACTATTTGACTATTTTTTTCTTTTTTTTCAAAGGGGTTAGTTTGTTTAGTTTCTTCTTCACTTGTCACACTTACTCGACTTATTTCGAGTGTTTATTTGGGTTTTTTCTTTTTAAATATCAAAATAAATCACTTTTATAATTCCCGTATCTGCGCACTTCGCATCTTGTTGAAAGAAAATTATATTGTGAAATGGCCGACTTTGGTGTTGCCAGCAGGTTTTTATACCCTTGCACTGCGGGAATATTNTATTTGGGTTTTTTCTTTTTAAATATCAAAATAAATCACTTTTATAATTCCCGAAAATTATATTGTGAAATGGCCGACTTTGGTGTTGCCAGCAGGTTTTTATACCCTTGCACTGCGGGAATATTCCATTTGGAAGAATAACGGGCACTGCGTCATTTGGACTAGTTCCGTTACTCATCCAAATGGAATTTGCCGCAGTGCAAAGAGGAATATCAAAAAAAATCCGGGGTTGCCGTGACTCT